AGTGTCTGTTGGAGTTGGGAGAGTTCAAGCAGAAAGACAAAGAATCCATTAAGCTCTATTATGACTATCTAAATGAACTAATCTACAAGTGCAACAGATATGGTGTGATTAGGTCAACAATGGAGTTCAACCTGATTTTCATCATGTGACTTCGCAAGGAATGGTGTAACATTAGCTTGATGTTAAAAACTCAACAAAGCTTCGAATTCTTTTCTCTAAGTGATATGTACAATGTGTTGAAGACACATGAAAAAGAAGTTAATGAGATTGCTGAGGAAATGAGGAATAGTTTGGGAGGTCCTTTGGCGCTGATGTTAAAGGTTGCAAGTAAAGAGGTTGAGAAAGAAACAACTGAAAAAGTAGGTTTAGAAGATGGAGGATTGATCGTCAATTTTGATGACGAAGTAGTGGCTTTTTACTCAAACAACCGAGTGATGAAATTCTTCAAAAAGCCATTTAATCTGAAGCCAAGAGCAAGTGATGTGAACGAAAGTTTTTTCTAGAAAAACTATGAGTAAGGAAAAGAAAGTGGAGAAAAAGGAAGTCAAGGTTGAGGATACTAAGGTGTAGAAAAAACTCAAAGGTGACTCAGGATTTGACTGTCATTACTGTAATGGAGCGAATCACATGCTAAATGATTGCATGCTCAAGAAAAGGGATGAGAAAAAGAATAGAGTCATGGACGAAGCCTACTACATCGAGAGGCTTGATGAGGTAAGAACTAAGGCAAAGAGGATGTCGTTGGTTGCGAAGGGGATGGCTGATAAGGAAGGGACATATCAAATATGGTCATCAGGATCAGATGACGGTGAGATGCGAAATCCCAATCATGGAGCGATGTTTGTGAGTTTCGAAGAAGAGGATGACGAGAAAGTTATAGGAAGTTGCTTTGTTTCAGCTATTGCTCATAATCCTCCCTTGACTTCGCTAGTATGTTCTCTTTTAGAATCCTTTAATATTCCTTCTAGAGCATATATTTCGATGTTACCTGAGTTTGATGAAGCTATTACTTATAGGGTTGTAAATGAACCGAACAAACACTAACGGGGGCTTGTTCATGTTTGTTCATTTAAGTTACTTGAACAAATAAATGAACATGAACGGATAAACGAACAAGTTTTCTGGTTCATGTTCATTTGTTTAACAAATTACATTGTTCATGTTTGTTCGTTTATGTTTGCGAACATGCTAAACGAACATAAATGAACAAAGATAAGCAAACATAATTGAACATATATGAACATAAATGAACAGATAATATAGCAATGTAATCAAACACAATTAAGCATATATAAACATAAAAGGAACTTATTTAAACAAATGTAAACGAACAACATAAACGAACATTCACAAACATAATCAAATGAACAAGACCATTGTTCATGTTCGTTTGTGTAACTAAACTAACAAGAATTTGTGTTCATGTTCGTTCATTTATTAGATAAACAAACATAAACGAACTTCCCGCCAAACGGTTCACGAACAGTTCGTTGAAGGGTCAGCTCGTTTACAGTCCTAATTACTTATGTTAACAATCAGCTTATTTTTGCTAGTAGTGATGCCAAAAGGTTCAATTATCAACTACTAGAAACTCAGAAGTGTTTGGAGTCGAAGAAATCTAAGATAGAGAGTCTAGATTTGCAATTAACAAATGTAATGTGTGACGAAGACAACCTTAGGACAGACAATAGTATTTTACTTAAACATCGAAACATTTATTGTAACTTTGCTAAAAGGTTGTATGGGAAATTAACTACATTACATCATTTTGTCCGAAATTAGCAAAGAACAACATAGGAAGCTTTTGCCCTTTTTGACTTTCAAAAGGGAGAAAATTGATTCAACCTCTTATGACTGTGAAAAGAAGATTTCCCAATTTGATAAAGTCCCAAATCACTCTTCTACATATTGTGTTGTGAAAATTTATGAATGCTTAGATGCTAATGATCTAGTTGATATTGTTAATGAGACCTTGGCCAAAAACAAACAAATATTTTTTTTTGAAAAGAATTGAGACTCCGGTATCCGACTCTCAAAAAAATTTAATGATATCGAAGATGTTTCTGATGAGATTAGTGAAATTAAGGAAGAGGAAGTTATTGATTGTTCCTAGTTATGTGTCATTGATGTCACTTCAATGGCTAAGGCTAAAAAATTTATAATGATTCTTCGCTTAAAGTTGACACTAACCAACCATTATCTTCGAAAGTTCATGATCTTGACCATGTGACTATCGAAGATTGTCAAATAGACAGTGATGATGATAATGATGATGTTTCAAAAGAAACAACCATACCCAGTGATGTAATCGATTAAGTTTATGGTGAAACTGAGAAGTTCGACAAAGTGATGAAAGAAAAAAGGCTCTCATTATCTTGAATCAAATTTGGTTATATATCCTAACTTCAAATGCACATATGATGTTATCTTTCCAAATAAGGTGTTTGTTACCTCAGGAAATGGTGATAAGGTTAAACATGAAATCAACAAAACTGTCGAAGAGGATAAAAAGAAAGCTTCGAAAGAAGGATTTTTCTCAAATCAAAGCACTGTCGAAAATAATCTTACCAAGAACTCATACATTTTTCGAAGACAAAAACCACAAAGAAATTGGGTAGTCAAAACTAAAAAATCAAAAGTGGAACAACAAACAAATGATATTGTTTCTCAAAAACCAAAATTAAATGATCAAAGTTTCAGAGGAAAAATTGAAAAGATTTCAAAAGAACATGGGATTTCAATGAGAAAAGCGAGAAAGAAGGTGTATTGGTAAAATACTGAGACTCGAAAGAAACAAAGTGTTTTGTTAACTAAATCATTTGAAAAGAAAGAGTCTACATTAGTTAAGGCTTCTTCTCCAAACAAGTCTTTTATTAAGAAAACACCCTCTCAACCACAACAAGATTTGTCAAAAGGACAATCACAAAAAGATTTTTCAAAAAGTAAACCACTAATTTCGAAGTCCAATTCAAACCAAATTTTCAAAAGACAAACAATGAGAATTTTGTGAAATCTCAAGAATCAAGGAATTATGTTCCACTTCATCAACATAAAAGGTTTTCAAATAATAATTTTCAAAGAAATGGTTTTTCATCCAATGAACAAAGGACTTTTCCTCAATTTCCCAGTCAAAGAGGATTTTTGAATGGACAACATGTTTTTCAACATTCATATGTTGGTTATCAAAAATGCTTTCAAAATCGATTTCAACTACAGTCAAAACCAGTATTTCCAGGTTTAAAATTTGAAAAATTGGAAGTAAATGGAAAGAACAATTCTTCGTTTAAGCCTAAACAACCTAACTTTCCCAACCTTCATTCGAAGCAACAAAGTAAAGTTTCAGTTGTCAAAGGCACGCCTGATGTTAAAAACATCAATTACTGGTTAGAGGGAAAAGGCAAACGTTATCAGTCTGGAAAGTTTTCTAAAGAGGAAATAAAGTTGCTTATGAAAGCTACTTGAATGAGTCTTCGAATGGAAGCTCTTCATCCAAGGAGTCGAATCCTTCAGTTCGACAATGGAGAGTTGTTCCAGAAGAGAAAGTCAAAGTGAAACGAACTTAGGAGAAAAATGTGAAAGTCTTTCCTATAAATAGAAAATGAGTGACTCCCATTATGTAAGGAAGTTTTGGAGAACATTAGTTTTAGAGAGTTTTTATTACAAACTCATTTGTACTTTTTCTAACTATACTAATGAGAGCTTAAAAGATTTATTTACTCCATATGTTCATGATTTATATGATGATTTACTAGATCTACAATAAGGAAAATGATCAATAGCGGCGACAAAAGTTGTCGGTAATAATTAGGGTTGTCGCCGGTAATAGTATTAGCGGCGACGCGTCGCCAATAATAAGTCGCCGCTAGTGCCTCGAAGCTATTGATCATACTATCGCCGCTATTGATATATGTCGCCGGTAATGAGGTGTGTCGCCGGTAATAGTGTCGCCGAAAATAACAATTTTAAGTTTAATTTTTTTTTAATTAACGATTTTGGTTGGTGGTAATAAATGTCGTGGTAATTACATAACAACATCCGATTAAAAGCCCATGTCGTTGGTAATAGTGGTGTCGCTAAAGGGTGACATTCTTGTAGTGATCTTTCTTATTTTGTATTTTTCATCATAATCAATGCCACTACAGACATGTTGTCTGAATATGTTTATAATAAAACTTTTTTTTTCGCAAAAATTAGTCTCGACGACCCTTTGATTAGGACATGTGGCCTGCATTGGTGGCTCTGTACCGCCGACATTTATCCCAACGGCATTTTGATGGGGCTATCCAGGCGACTTTTTACCGATGATAAGTTGTCGGTATATGCATTACAAAAGACATGTTGTCTGCACAGTTGCTGAAAATATCATTGGTATAGGCCTCATTCCTTGTGGTGATACCACATAACCCAATTTTGCAGCCTTGTCAAATAACTAAAAGTTATGGGAGTTTTTGGTTGAGTGATAACATGTTTCATTCGTGTTTTGAGTGCTTTAATTAGCAACTAAGAAGAATAAAGTTGCCGTTCAAAAAAAACAACCATTTAAGAATAAAACAAATGTTGGGTGCTTTTTTGGGTGCTTATTTTAAAGGCGAAGAGAATGAAGCCAAGACTATCTTTTCCTATAAGTTAGGTATTGCATATTGTCATGATCATGATGCACGGCTTTCGCAACTTAAGTTAACAAAATATTGATTGTTAAAAAGTTATATTGTATTTAAATCCCATTTGTTTACTTTACTGTCACCATACATGATCTTCTATTTTCGAAACAAAAAAAACAAATTTTTTTTTGTTGAAAAGGAGCTAGCCAGAAGTTAGGATTACAAGATGTGTAGACATGCATTTTTATGTAAGGGTTGTTACACCAATTGGCCCTTTATATGATCTACAATCCCTTTCCACTATGAATGAACTTGCTATTATTTATTTAATGCTTTTATGACCTTAACTTTCCATATATGTTTGAGACAAGATGTAGCCATCTATCTACTACCCATATCATGAATACCAGCAGCTTTCCCTACTTTGCAATGGTGTTTGTACAGTTTCTTTTTGCAGGAGCAAGTATTACAATGAAGATCGGGTTTGCAAATGGACTTAATCAGCTTATATTTGTGGTTTATCGCCATTTAATAAGCACAATTCTTTTTTGCCCTTTGGCTTTTGTATATGAAAGGTAATCCATTCATCTCTACTCTATCAGTTAACTGCTAGTTAAGAGTTATATATTCGTAAACTATGAGCATGAAACTTACAGGAAAGAAAGACCAACGCTCAGCCTTGTAGTGATGATCAAGATTTTTGTTTTGTCATCCCTCGGATCCACAATCCATCTTAATGCATATGCATATGGTTTAACATATACTTCTGCAACCGTGGCGAGTGCTTTAAATTGCATCACCCCCAGTTTGACCTTTCTCATTGCATTTCTTCTAAGGTAAGTTTCAGATATTATACACATATACGGATATATTGTTTCTTCTAAATTATAACTTCATTAACAATCAGTCATGCCGACGTGCATTTATTTAAGTAGAACTAAACAACAAAATAGGTTAACATGCAATTTCTTATTGGATCGGTTACCCGTCTAAAGGTATTAATGGTGCATTGAACCATATCGAATTTAATAAATTGTTATATTATCATTTTACTTCTATTATTTTTTTCCTATATTGTATTGAACTATATAAAAGTTCAATATAACATTTATTTTAAACGTAAAAAAATAATATAGTACATTTTTTTCCCAAGAGTTTAATTGTCATTGTCGGTTGAACTCTAGCTATATCTGTTAAATAACATTATAGCATTCACTTTTCTTAACTTTATTCATTGAATTTCAACAAGACATTGTTCATCATTCAACTCATCTATTAAACTATGAATTGGCTTGTCGATAAGAAAACAAATGGAAATTATCAATTACCCGACAAAACAGTTTGTTATCTATTCAGCATGAGTGATAAGCAAGGATGGATAAAATTTAACCAACATTATCTTTAAATAAATGGGTAAAGTTGTCATTCACTATCAAAGAGATGTTTTTCAAAATTAATTTAAAAAGGAATGTCATGTAGTAATCGTATGTCAATTTTATTCATTTCCTATTTCTCAAGCAACCTTAGAGAAACTAATGACGACGATGACTACATCAAATAATTATAGAGAGATTAAATATCCTTTTAGATTTTATTCTTATATATCCTCCTAGCCAATTAAAATATATCATGTGTAATATTTAATGTTCATTTAATAAAATTTTAGGATACAAATATAACACATGTAATCATTTAAATGGGTAGAAGGATTTTTTTTTTTGGAAACCGCAAATATATTAAAATTAAACCCACATCAAGATGATGGGTATATGAAAGTACAAAAAAAGAAACAAAGAAATGGACAAAGGTTCCAAATTCTCCAATCAATATTTTTGTATGGCCCCCTGTGTTTGCACCAAATGAAAGATAACGATTTTACCCTTTCTACTATGTTCGCCGGATCAATAGGAATGTTATTGAATACCCCATTGTTCCTCTCGATCCATATGCACCACAAAACTCCACATAAAATTACGTTCAACAGGCTTCTCCTTTTTTGTATTTGCTCCATCTCGATAGAAATAGTAGCATGTCCCTTACCAAATTAAAGTTATCACACCTGATTTCATACCAGTTAAGGATTTCATTCATCACAGTCCTCGCCGATTGACATGTGATCAACATATGATCACTAGTCTCCTCCTCTTGCTTACATGCACCACACACAGTAGAAGGGATAGTAATCCCCCTTGATTGAAGTTCAATTGCTGAAGGGATTTTGCCCTGTTTCGCTCTCCATGTGAAACAGAGAATCTTGAATGGGATCATCTTGTTCCAGTCAAAGGGACCATAACACACGATATGGCCTGCAAGTTCAAGCCGTTCCCTGAATAATTTCACAGAGAATCTGTTATCAATCACAAACTCAGATACCCAACATCTCTTATCCGAGTTCCATGATACAATCTCCTTAGGATCGATGTTGACTTTCGCCATCATAGACCTGATTTTTGTTATGTTCTTCCACACTCCTTTACTAGTACTACTAGCAAAACAAGACCAATGTCTTCCTTCTAAATTATGGACACAACAAATGACTTTAGCCCACAATTCACTACTATCTGATTTCAGTCGCCACAACCATTTTGCTAATAAGGAGATGTTCAGTGATTGTATCGAGCCTAACCCGATACCACCCACTTTTTAAGGAGCGTTAATCTTCTCCCAACCAATCCAACATATGTTTTTTTTTTGTTGTATTCCTTACTCCAGATAACTTTTCTCTTTATTTTTTCAAGAGTATCAATTACACCCGTCGGGACCTTAAAGATAGACATAAAAAAAAAGTTAGGAGAATATTTAATTTCTCATAATTATAACCCACATCTTTTTCTTCTCAATTTCACATTTTACATTTCCTTTCGAAATCGGTAATTTACATCCGATTGAAGGCAGCTATTCATTTATTTATGTAACTTCAAAATAATTCAATCAAAATAAATACATGTATGCCACAAGTTATACCACCAAATCCTAAATAAAATAAAAATTAAATTAAAAACACCCTGAGAGATGAAGAACGCAACTTACTAGCCTTAATAATGGTCAATAATAAGTGCGATTATGAATTCCAATTCATTCAAAACGTACAACCCTTTTTGCCAAAAAGATGTTACAATGAAAGTAAGATGTTATAATAAACAATTAAATGAGAGTACACTGCTATCTGTTGCATTTATCCCTAAAGAAGACGATGGAAAAAATGAAAATTAAAAATTGCAATCTCATGTGAAAAATCACAATTTCAATACTAAAAATAAAATGTCAAGTTTGAAACAGCTTTAGCTGATCACATAAATTTTGGAACTTCTTATAATTTACGGGGTATTTTTTTTAGGAGAAAGTCAAATGGTAATTTTACCCGCGAACAAGTTTTCATTTTGACCTTGTGAGTTATCTTTCGTTCTTATAACAACAAGTTCTTATGAAAAGTTTTGTATTTTTTTTTAATTGAGTGGGTTGAGTAGGTTCAAAAAGACAGGATTTCCGTGTGTTGTGGGTTGAGAAAAATGAAGAAAAACAATAGACAAAAATTGATGTGACAGTGGGTTCGATGGGTTGGGAGGGAACGATTCCCTCCAACCTAATCTCTCAAGCCTACCGAAACCATCCTGCAACAGAGGAAGCATATATCTAACAATAATATAAATAATTAAATCTCAATTAAAATTAGTTTTAAATTGTTTTTATAATAGTTAATGGGACATACCTATATCCAAGACGACATAAGGGACACCAGCAAGAAAAGATGGAATCTGTGATCTAAATTCCACAATATGAATCATTTCTCCATTATCGCGTCTTTAGTTGCAAGCGTCTCAAAACAATATCATCAATAACACACCTAATTTCAATTTCACATCATCATCCAACTAAAAAATAACCTTAAAAAGCCTTGTAACATATTTACATAAACATGATGCCTTAAAAAGGTACATCATAGAACTATTATATATTGTTTTTTGAAACATACATTTCATGCTTATGTCATGATGATAATCTCACACCTACAGATATTTTCTATCTAAACAATTTAGCCCATACTATTAGATTTAGCATCATACTCTCAATTGTTTCATAATATATCACTACAGTTTAAAAAAGTATTCCATAATGAAACCAATTTTAGTACTATAAGTTTTCCAAAGCCTTATTCAACATCTCAAACACAACCATCCCTTCATGATTCATGTGTAGAAAAAGGGGTTATCCATAGGAAAAATTCAAACAAATATCCAATTAAATTAAGATCAACAAGAACAATTAATTTTATTACATAGAATAGAGAAAAGGGAAGCAAGTATACACACATAGTGTTAAGCAAGAACGGCCTCCTTCGAGACCGTATTGGCATAACTCTTAATCGTTTTACATTCAACACTCATTCTATAACGTAGAGCTTGCAATAGGCTCCATTCAACTAGCTTAGTTTCAACAAATTAGCCTCTCCACTTACTTAATAGTATCATGTGTTATTTAAGAACACATTAATCGGGTTAAAGTTTTCATAAAAAAAGATGAATGAATTTAGGGTATGGACAATAACTGATCCGGCTTGCATAATCTAGGCGATAGAGATTACTGAACCTACTTCAACATGGGATACTGAGAGAAAAACAAATTAGCAATATTTTTAACAAAAACAATATAACTTTATTTATAAGTTTTATATATTACTTTCATCTCTAAGAGATGAAGCTAGAGAGAATTAGGTAGTTGTTGGAGTGGGAAACAACTTTTAGAACCATTTTGCTTTTCATTTGAAACACCCTTTCAAGATCGGAATTTCTAAAGCTTTAATGATAGACAGGCATCAATTGTTTTACCTTTCTTGGTATATCTAGTCTCTTTAGTATCCTTGAATTTTTTTCATGAGTGTCTTGTTGCTCCCCTGATTTGAACGAAAAACATATAATTAGCTAAAATTTGACAGATATGGATCATAAATGGTTTGATTTGAATCTGTCACTCCAAGCTACTCCAACTTATTTCATATGACATCCCGAAATTTTGGTCTTAAACTTTAGATAGTCAATTCACCACGAACCTTTTTGTAACCAGACATATTGAGCTTTAATGCATATTTTGAAAAACAAAATACAATTATTACAATTAAAATAAGATACCACATGTTATCTTATTTTCAATTGTGGAAAATCCCAAACGTAACATGCAAAACAATCTGTAACCCTAGTTAATAAGTCTGAAAAACTGAAACTTTGTATTATGCTTCCAACATCGGCTAAGAAAAACGAAACCGAGAGGCTACCGAGCAGGCTCTCCTTCGACCACGACCACATTTATTTTGATTCTCATGTTTCCCATTCTTTTTTGGTACTAGTCGATCAAACCTCGCGTTATTTTAATTTTGTTTCCTGAGTTTATATCAGCTCTAAACTCGGGTTAAAGTTTGTTGCTAGTTGATGTTTTCTCGCGGTGCTTCCCGAACACGATCACATTCTCGGGTCTAAACTGAACTCATGCATTTAGGTGAGTGCGTACGAGCCCATTTTATATATATATATATATATATATATATATATATATATATATATATATATATATATATATATATATATATATATAGGATACATGCGCTCACTATTTCGTTTAGGCAAACTCTAATGAAAATCGTATCTTGGTTACAAATACTACTAGTTAAAATATATATTGTTTAACGAAAACTTGTTATTAAACTTGATATATTCATAGGTTATAGTTCTTTGAAAAAGGTTACAAATAGTTAAAATAAAATATATTTTTACTAGAAACAAGTTACAATTTTATGTCATTAAACGAGTGTCATAAATCTTATAATATGTGACATTACCACCTTTGTA